TGATATTTAATAAACATATTGAATGAGTAAGTGTTTTAGTCCGTTTTGTGTTGCTATAACAGAAATACCCGAGACTGGGTGATTTATAAAGAACAGAGATTTATTTGGCTCACTATTCTGGGACAGCTGCGTCTGGCATGGGCCTCAGGCTGCTTCTACTCATGGCGGAAAGTGGCAGGTGGCCGGTGGGTACAAGCAGATCACATGGTGAGAGAAAGCAAGAGAGAGACAGGAGGTACCAGGATCTTTTTAAGCAATGAGCTCTCGCGGGAACTAATAGAGTGAGAACTCACTCATTAATCCCCCCTCCCCCAGGGAGAGCATTAATCCATTCATGAGGGATCTGCCCCCATGACCCAATCAGTTTCCAACACTGCCACATTGGGGATCAAAATTTCCACCTGAGTTTTGGAGGAGACAACACATCCAAACTACATTGAGCTCTGATCTCAAGTCAGGCACTATGCTAAGTTATTTCCTCAAATTGTCTCACACTGCCCTCTAAACTAAGTATTGCTCTGTTTCCAGACAAAGTCATAGTGCCCTAGAAAGGACAACACTGAGATTTAGACCCGCTTAGCCTGGCTGTGGGGCTTGTGGTTATAACATCTCAGTCTTTCTGCCTGTCAAAGTGAAGACAGATTTGCCTTCTAAAAGAATGATAAAACATCTGATGTGCACATTGGATAGAACTAAAATCACCTCCAGCTGTAGACAGACTAAAATATGAAGGCAGGAAATAAATAATTGGATACATACGAGTACGGTGGAACTGTGGAGAAGTTTTTAAAAAAATTTCCTTCTATAATAAGGTAAAATTGGACCAGTAATTTTTCTTTTCTAATTAAAAACAGATTGTTTTTCTACTGGGCGTGCCCATCTGCGCATGGCATAGTATGGCATACAATGTCACAGTGTCACATGCCCTGATTAAGTAAGGGAATGTGAAAAACAAATTTCCCTTCTTCCCTCAGCCCCAATTCCTCCCTAAGACTGAACAACTATGGAAGAATACAATTGAAGACAAAGTCAATCATTTTTCTTGGTAAAGTAGTACCATGCAATCAGTTAACCAGCAGCATGGCAGTTATCCGAAGGGCTACTACCTTGTTACAAGACTGTGACTCAAGCACTCTTACCATTAGTCCCTAACACCTAAACTCAAAAGCTGTATGTTACCATACACATACCATCATCTGTATGTTCTTAGCCACAAATTTCAAACCAGATCATGGATCTCTGCTCACCACCCACGGAAGTGAACTTAGTATCTTCTCCCTCAACTTATTCTTCCTCGTGGGTCACAGCTTGTATTCCCTGAAGTCGTATGGTTTAAAACCCTGTCTGGCACATTACTTCTCATTACTTGTCTTTTCAGAAATGTCCTGCCTATTCTCAAGTGTTTCATCTTCAATACGAACTGCAGAATTTTTCTGTTATAATTTGGAAAAAAAAAATCCTTCTTAGATTTTGCTTGACATTGCATTGAATTTGTCCATTCATACAAGAAAATGTTGACAATTTAAAAAAATATTGAGTCTTCCAATCCCAACATAAGACATCTCCATTTATTCAAGACTTCTTTACATCTCCAAACAGTTTTCTACTTTGCTTCATCTGGGTACTCATATTTTCTTTTTATATTTACTAGGCAGTCAACTGTGGTTTTGGTTGCTAATCTGAATGACATATTTTAATCCACCTATTTACTGACTGCAATAGAAAGTCATCAATTCATTTTCCCATGTTTATTTTAAACCAGCAACCTTACTGAACTTTCTTAATAACTGAAATGGTTTTAGAGTTAATCCTCTTGAGGTTTTGGGATATACAATTATTTCATCCACAAACATTCACAGTTTTTTCTTCTCTTTATTTTTCTTCTCTTATTTTTTCTTCTTCTCTCACTCCCTGATTAATTGTACTGGCTAGCACTCTAGAAGAAATCAAATCATAGGAGGAATACGTTGCTCACTTGAATGGGAATGCTTACAGAGTTCTGTTAGTAAGTCTGCTACCAACTTTCAATTTGAGATATAGAAGGTCTTATTACATTAAGAAGGTATCCATATAGTCCTATTTTACTATCTTTCAAAAAAAATCCCGAACAGATGTCGAATTTAACCAAATACTTTTTTCCCAAGCATGAGATGACTGTATGGTATTTTCTCTTTGTCCTGCTAATATTGTGAAACTAATTAATAAAATCTTTAGATAATATTGAACTTAATTTTTAAGATAAATTTCCTCTCAGCTGTAATGCATTATTTTAATATATTGTTAAATTTTTCTCAGGATTTTGCATAGACATTTATAAGAAGGCTGGTCTATAGTTTTCTTTTGCAATGCCACCTTTTCCAATTTTGGGAATCCATACAACAATGCCAGGTTTATAAAAAACAGGTGGTAGCACTTTTTCTTTTATAAATTCCCCGGAATAGTTTAACAATTTGAAGAATTATGTGTTACTTGGAAGTTACTTCAAGGCTCTATAAGAAATCACCATTGGTTTATCTAAACTTGACAGTTGTCTTTTTCTTTTTTTTGAGAAGAGAAATAGGAGATGGCAGGAGGTGGTATATAAGAACCTTTTTAAGTATTTCAAACTTTCACAACCACTGATCTTTTAGTTTTCTTTCTCTTCTTAAGGAAGTTTTATACATCCATATATTCCTGGAAAATCATCCTTTGTATGCCAGGTTTGAAATATATTAATGTAAAGTTTACAAAAATATTTTTTAATGATATGGTTTTTGCCCTCTTTGCAGTCCTAATTTATATATCTCTTCATTTCCTCCCGACTTGATAAGGCTTGCTAATGGTTTATCTATATAATTGATGTTTTAAAAAAACAGATTTATGTTTTCCCTTTTTTCTTTTATAGCTCATTAATTTCTCCTTTTATATGTATTGATTCCTTCAACTTCTCATTTATTTCTAACTTCCTCGATTGAAGATAAAAACCACAGAAAATCATCCACAGTTTAATTTAACTCAATTGAAGAGACTATCCCACATTACCTCATCTGATCTTTTCCATCTTGATTTAAAAAGATATAACATGGTTCACTGTCACAGAATAAACAAAACCATAACTTGGGATTTACAATATGTATGTAAAGTCATTGAGCTATACCCTTAAAATAAGCACGCTTGACTGTATGTGTCTCATATCTCAATTTTAAAAAAAGAATATTTAATGATATGGAAAAATGTCTGCTGTAAAAATGTCTGCTGGATTCAAACTTAAAAACGTTGCTCAGAAACAGCCACATCTTGCCTCCCCACCCCCCCCCATGAATGTTCCATTAAATTAAAGTTCAAAACAGGCAAAACTAACCTGTGAAGTTAGAATTTGGGAGAATAGTTCCCCCTGGCAGGCTAGTGACTGGGAGAGGGCATCAACTACAATGTTGTTTTCTGATCTGAGTGCATTACCCAGGGGGGTTTGTTTTGCGACAATACATTGAGCTTAATATTTACGTATATTTTTGCCTGTATCTATATCGCAATAAAAGATTTACGTTAAAAAATGTTTAAAATTATTTTCTCCCCAAATCTGGCACTGAGCACAATGTAGCTGAAAGAAATCAGCTTGGAGAAAAAGGAAATGCCTGAACTCCTTACTCTGGCTTATGATGTCAGCATGCAAAGTTAAAGACTACCTGTCCTTAACTCTGTACAATTGAAAAACAGGGACCATCTGCCCTTAAAACTAAAACGACCTGCACGGCTTCTGAAACGTGTTATTTGTTTTAGTTTTCAGCTTCCTTTATTTCTTAAGACGTTACAGGCATTGTGCTTTTTTGGAAGATTACATAAGGATTGAATATAATAATTTCAAAAGCAATTAACATATTGTTTCAGCATTGTAGCCTTTCATTAGGCTAATGGCCAAAATCTTCTTTCCATTTTATTTTAATCTTGTCTCAGCCATATTAATGACTATTAGTTCAACTTTAATTTCAGTGAAGAATGGTTCCTAAAAGTAGCTTTAAGTTTTTTTTTTTTTTTTTTTGAAAGATGACACGTAAGGGGATCTTAACCCTTGACTTGTTGTTCAACTTTAATTTCAGTGAAGAATGGTTCCTAAAAGTAGCTTTAAGTTTTTTTTTTTTTTTGAAAGATGACACGTAAGGGGATCTTAACCCTTGACTTGTTCTTGTCAGCACCAGGCTCCCAGAAGTGAGCCAACCGGCCATCCCTATATGGGATCTGAACCTGTGGCCTTGGTGTTATCAGCATCACACTCTCCCAAGTGAGCCACGGGCCGGTCCTTAAGTTTTGTTTTTGTGGTGGTGGTTGTGGTTCTATCTTTACTGAATTGTTGTACCAGGAGTTTATAAGTAACCGATTTGTGAAAGTCAAACGTGCCATGCCTAAAAAATACAGAACAAGGCAAAAAGACTCCCAGAACACAGTAACTTCCAGATCTAGTTTCTTTTCCTTCAATAATTTATTTTTAAGTTGACCCTAGATAAAGTATTTTCTAAACGCTCTCAGTTTGCTCTTTCAGGCAAATGTTTACATTATCAGTTTAGATACTCACTCAATAAACGCTTTGTTTTCTGAACCACAGGCAAGATCACATCCTTTCTAGATGCCAAGGAGTCAGAATGAATTACAAGAAGCCAGGCTCACTCTTGAGATGCTGTCATAGACGGGCATGTCATTACCTTTCCCTGAAAGAACCTTAATGGAAACATTAGGAGAAATATGCATTAGATCCCTGACAAGAGCAATAGAAGCCACGTCTTTAATAACATGTTACCTTAGATAAACTTAGCACTTGATCCTTTCAAAGCATTTTCATTATTGTGGGGAACAATAAACCGGGAATTTTAAAAGAATTTTGAGGTGGGCCTTGGCTGAGAGGTACTGGATAGAACTGGCTGCTAGTTAGCTGTGGAGTGTCACATAGGTGAAGTGTGTTCCCATTATGCAGGGCTGCAGCCTCAAATCCTTGACTCTCTTGTCCCTGACCTCTGAATTTCACGAGCCTCCTCAACCAATCCAATAAGCTTCCTAATCATAGACATACATACTGTCCCTAATCACAGGCCCCCAATCTTCAACCCCCAGAGGTTCTCATACTCATTGATATCGCCATATGTCCAAATTTGACCATAAAAGACCACTGGTCAGTGACTACAAAGCTCATCGACCCAATTTGATAGCCACTGAATCACACAGATCCCAATCACAAATGCACACTGATCTCCAATGATATCCCAATGACTGGGACCCCGACAGTCCCACCCCTCTGACAGTCCCAATCACTGACCCCCATTGATCCCTCTATTCCCCATTCCCCGAGCTACAAAAGCGCAATCGTTAATATTCTCAGATTCCTCCATAGATGATGTAAAGGAAGTGTCAGTCACTGGTAGCCCAAAGCATTTCTCCAAACATTGAAACCCAAAGTTTCCACAATCACCATTTCCAGTAGCCAAACTATTACTGCCCACAGAACTTGGAGCCTCCAATCACTGACCCTCTTGGGCTTCCGATCACTAAGCCTTAACTCTTTCCAAATCAGTGTCTTATAAGTATCCACTTGGCCCCAGGCCCACGAAGACCATTATAACTGACTCCCACCCACCCTGCTAATCAAGACATTTCACAAAAACCTCACTTACTGATTCCTCCCAATTCATCTTCTTCACAGAGACCCTGACACCTGCCACCTGCCACTGACTCCCACAAACCTCCACCCGCCACCACGGACCCCCCCTACCCCCACCCACACCTCCACCCCCGACGAGGCTCAGACGCCCAGTCACTTAACCCTTCAGTCTCCTAATCATTGACCCTTACGGGCACCCATAGCTGACCCAGTCGGGCCACCGTAGTCGCCCGGTCACCATCCTACGTAGGTCCCAAGGTTTGATCGTTTCTATCACCAACTCTTCCTATTTATCCTGGATCCGCGCCTTTCACCCAAAATTGGCCGCTCTACCATGCCGCCTCACCGCGGTATAAGCTCTTTTCCTGCCAAGTGGCGGGTGCGCAGACTCAGTCGCGACTTTGAGGCGGTCAGTCTCCACCCGGCAGGCAACCTTCCAGAGAACAGGATTCTGGGTTTTCAGAGCTTTACCGGAGGTATTTTGACCGCGCCCACTTGACAACCTCTTTCTGGGAGCGGCCATGTTTAAGATTGTGCCGTACAACGGATGTCTAAGCCCTTTCCTAGACCAGAGGATTAGGGCGGGGAGAATTAAGTGTCCCCCGATTCGTAAACACAGACGTCGTTGCGGCTCTTAGCATCTCTGACGCCCAAATCTCCTGTGACAAATATGGCGGCGCCCGGACCTCGAAGCTGAGCTTTCTTTGTCTCCCTAGCCCAGGCAGTGAAGGAAGATGGCCGCGTACATTATTACAGCTTTTACGTGCGATGGGTGCGGCCATCTCCCAGGAGGAGCCCCCGTACGGCCAGGTAAAACTTTTTCTGGGACAACCCTAGGAGTTGGAGGGCAGCGAAGGGACTAGCTCTTCTCTCGGGGAGCTTGAGGCGGCCTGTGGAAGGGGCGTGGCTTCACGGAGAGGGCGGAGCCACGAGGAAAGAGGCGGGGGGGGGGGGGGGGGGGGGGGGG